AAAAAGAAAATGTGAATAAAAATAATTAGCAGTAAAAACCCAACATTCATTCAGCATTCGGGAGGGGCGAGAGTAAAGTCTTATCCCCAGGCCTGCTTCTGGGTGAAGCTGAAACTGAAGCTTCTGCTTCAGTTTCAGCTTCTGAAACTGATGAAGCTTCTTGGATGAGAAGCACAATGTTTTCTTCTTCTTCCACAAAAACAAAGCTGTCTGGGTGTATTTTGAAGGGGGGGAAACATCTTAGAGACAACTGTGACCTGGATGACTGAGATTCTCCACCAATTTACAGTAAACCCTAATGGAAAGCGCCCCTTAAGGCAATAACCTTGGAATGAAATGCTTTATGCTTTAGATTTTCATTTAGATTTTTCATTCAGCCGCCCTGAGTCCCGTTTGGGAATAGGGCGGCATAGAAATATAATAAATTCAATTCAATTGCATTCTAAACAGGAAAAGAAGGTGTCTTCTCACTGTAGATTAATAATAATCCACTGTCGTGTGGATTAAAATTGTGCCCCATTAACTTCACTCCCTTGTAAAATGGGAAATCAATTTGTGATAGAGAAAATAAAATGCTCCTGCACGAATGAATTTAAGTAAAATTGTCATTACTGTGTAGCTGATATCCAGGCTTAATAAAACCTTCCTTTCTTCCTTCCCTCCCTTGTTCCCTTCCTTTCCTCCCTCCCTCCCTCTCTCCCTCCTTCCTTCCTTCCTTTCTTTCAAACTACTTTTGTAAGCCCCAAGAGGCTTGGAAAATTCCAAACTATTCATTTTCAAAAAATAATTTAGGGGAGGGACGTCAAGGCCTATAAGACACACTGTTTTCTTTTGGTGATGAAATTCTGACTTCACAGTAGAGGCTCTATGATTTTCTAACAGGCCCTTTTTTGTACCTTCACACTGAGAGGAAAAGCAGTTTTCTATTAATTTCAGAATGTGAGAATTTCCGCTTTAGACAGTAGTCTCACAACCAGTAGTTTAAAGGGTTTTTTTTTTTAATTCGGACATTACGCAGAAGAGTCATTATTGTAGCTTGCAAAGTAAGCTGCTTCACCTCGCAATCAGCTATAAGGCTGCATAGTACACATTCATTTTCTTTATTAAAAACAAGGTAGAATTTTTTTTCTTTTTAGTGTCTGAAAAAGCCAACTTGAGTTTGTGCAAATAAAAGTCGTGATAAATCTGTTGGATTTGCTCATTGTGCTTCAAAAGATTAGCATTTCATTTTGGAGAAATACATTTATTACACATCAATAGTTTTTAGGAAACTCTCAGCTGATATTCTGTCATTCTTTGAAGACTTGATTTTATTTATTTATTATTTATTTATTAATTAGACTTCTATACCGCTTCATAGGGCTTTCAGCCCTCTCTAAGCGGATTACAAATTTTTTTAGCAAATTGAGTCAGCAACTTGCCCCCANTGGGGGCAATATGCTGACTCTGTAAACCGCTTAGAGAGGGCTGAAAGCCCTATGAAGCGGTATATAAGTCTAACTGCTATTGCTATTGCTATAGGGCATCTATCAGAACGCTGACAATTTCATTTTTCAGAGTTTTCAAAGAGACTTGAATTATTTTTTCCTTTCCTTTTCCATATCCACCCATGGAATCCTTCTTAATCTCTTTCTTAGTTTGTGGAAGTCAGCTCTGCTAAAATTTAAAACACTAGTCGGCTTGAGCAGGGGTTGGACTGGAAGACCTCCAAGGTCCTTTTTGACTGTCCTATCCACTTAGTTGTTAGTTGTCACCCGGAGATAACATTCCAGACCGTATGCGCCTGTGTAGGGTGTGGAGACTTGACCATGCGACTTTCTATTTCCCAGGGATTGGTGACTATATTATACGGTGCACCCAGGCCATTGGGAAGTTCGAATCCCTCGTGCATCAGATCCACAAGAATGCCGAGGACATCAATAATAAACTTTTATTGATCGAGTCAGCCAACCTGTTCAAAAGCCCTCCTTCGAAAGGAGACGGTCATCTCCCAGGTACGTGGCTAATTCTTTTGTTCGTTTTGCTCATTTCCTAGCCAGGTGGAGCCATATTTCCTGTGAGGTCAGAGGTGGTTGTAACCACCGTGGTGGTGGGGAAACTGAACGGCCTAAATATGAACCGTTTCACAAAACTGTACCCTTCTGAACTGTGTGGCCCCCAGTTGAGTTGAACCAGGGGGAGATGAACGAACGGGTAGTCGTAAATCGTGACAGTCATAAAGCGGGTCATCCATTAGCGGTGTGTGTGGTGGCCTAGAGGCGGAGCTCTCGCCTCACAGTCAAGAGGCTGTGGGTTCGATCCTAGATAAAGGCATCTATTTCTCTCTCTGGGCACAATGAGAATATATATCTGCCAAATATAACTCCACAGTGGCAACAGGGAAGGGCATCCGGCCAATAAACACTCAGCTCCATTCAGTTGCCCCGACTCTACCCCAATGCAGGGGATTACGGGGTCATTAAAAAAACTAACTAACTAACTAACTAAAGCAGATTATCCATGCGACTCACCTTATTTTATGGCCGTCGTTCAACGAACGCTGTGATGGCTAAGCAGTTGTTCGCTATGTGCAAAAATATCTTAAAATGCCGTCGCTTGACCACGGAATGCTTCATGTGGCCATCCATGCAGGCCAGTTCCAGAGCACCTTAAACGTGGTTACGTGACTGCAGGGAACTTCAAAACCAGGCTGGAAATCCCCCGGGGGGGGGGGGGGGGGNGGCACACCTTACACTATGTCATGGCACACTAGTGTGCCATGGCACAGTGGTTGAAAAACACTGGACTAGAAGACCTCCATGGTCCCTTCCAGCTCAATTCTGATGAGAAAGCTAGAATTCCTTGCTGAGGTTTCCTTGGGACATCAAAAAAGTACTGGAACCTGAGATGCTTGGGATCCATTTGTTCCTAGGACTTTGTGCATTCTCACGATCTCCTGCTTGTATCTGCAACGGAAGCACAGAAGAGATAACGGGTGCTGTACTCACTTCTACTGATAGAATCCAGGTATCCAGCAGCTTCCAGTGTGAAAAATAAGGAGACCAAAGAAGGCAGGAGAGAGGGGAGGGGAAATGGACTCACCTGGGAGAGATTTAACCTGTGTCTTCCTTCATCTTTTGGGAAGCAGAGAGAAATGAAGCGTTCATCTTGGGATTTTTGAAAGCTCAGGATGAAGACTGACAATGCTATAGACCAGTGTTGGCGAAATGCCAAATGCCAAAACGGGAGTGCATGCGCAGGGGGGTAGTTCCGGGAACCAAAAGAGCAGCTCCCCAGCGTGCGCACAGGAGCAACAGAAACCGGAAGAGCAGTTCCCCATTGCGCATGCCTGCGCCAGGAAACTGAGCTTCTGGTTACCGTTGTGCGCATGCATGCCAATTGCCTGCCCTTCTGGTTTTTAGTGCTCCCGGAAGACCAGCTGGAACCTGGAAGAGCAATGGGCGAAAGCTGGTGTGCCTGGGGAGATGGCTCTGTGTGTGTCACTTCCAGCACATGTGCTATAGGTTCCTCATCCCGGCTATAGACCAGAGATGTCAAACTGGATTTCTTTGAGGGCCAGATCAGCATTGTAGTTTTCCACGGCGGGGAGGGGAGTGGCAGGGAGATGGGATGGATGCCTCTGGCAGCACCCTGCCAGCCGAAGCAGGACACCAGGGGACCGTGTGCAGCTCTGTCTGCCTCATTTTCATCCTCCATGGCCTCCTTCAGTACTCTGCCGGCCAAAAATGGGCCACACGAAAACCCCCGTTTTCAGCCTTTCTGGCCTCCAGCAGGCTGGTCCTTTGATATTCCCAGGCCAGCTCCATGGGCCAGATTTAAGCACCCTGCAGGCTGTATATGTGACTTTGACACCCCTGCTATAGACCCAAAGAAAGCTTTAGCCTTTGGTCTCACCTCACCAGATGTTTGTCCATATATTCCTGCAGTTCAGCAACCTGCTCTTCTGCTACCATCGCCCGGGCCAGCAGCTGGCTTCTCTCCCTTTCCAGTTCCACCTAAAGATGTGGGAAGGGAAGGAGAGAGCATGATAGCCAATAAGTGAAGGTCTTTTGAGGGGAACTCTCAGCTCTTCACACTAGAGAAGTATCCCAATTGTAAATACTAAACCTACTTGCTGTCAAGGTTCCGAAGGATGCCCTAATTAAATCATGAGCCTCGAGCCAAGCTTCAAAAGAATCCAGTTATTAGGAGCAACATGTCGGCACGTACCCCAGTGAAGCCAGCTCTCCATGTAATTCACGGCCCAATTATGACCCTGTTTCCCCCCTTTCCTATGGCAACTCAACAAGACAGGGATGCTTTGGAGGTGACATGTTTATTATAGAGTTACAGGATCTTGAAACTCTTTGAGTGTGTCTCTTTCCTTGTTTTTATCCTAAAGAGTCACCCGGAGGCAAGATGGCAGGCAAATACATTTAATAAATAGATAAATAAACAATTTAATATAAAGAGAGAACTAGGGAGAAGTAGGGTAAAATCGGAGATGTTTTCTCAAATTACTTTTCTGTCTCGGGACTCAGACTTCTCTGCTAGTTGCTTTGACAAGTGGCTCTTCCCCCTGTTCCTTAAGGCTATTCTCACAGTTCGATACAAGTACAGAGAGGGTCTCGAAGGAAATATTGTCATGTAGCAACCGATGGGGGAAAAACTCAGGGAATGAGAAAGAAACTCAAGATTGACTGTCTGGTATAAGAGGGAAGGAAAGGAAAAGAGTGCCCAGCTTCCAAGATAAGCCTTTAACGATAAAGTGGAAGAAAATTATACACTGAGACTTGCAAGATTGGGGTCAGATGTGGCCACCTGTGGCCTTACTCCCAAGTCGACCCCTGTTCTTTAGCTGTTCCCTTCATTTGGACACTCTGCACATGCGCACACTGGGAACAGGCTCCAGCTGTTCCTCTGCCCCACTGATGTCTGACTCCGAAGGCAGCTGATAACTGTCAGACGACCCTGGCCCCTTCTCTGCCTCCGACACAGAGCCCTCATCAGAGCCTTCCCCAGACTCCAGGACTGGCCCAGATTCTTCCCCAACCTCCTCACTATCCAAATCTGCCAGCTCTTCTGGCGGGCCACAACACCATCTTCTTTAAACCCAAGTAACTAAAGGAGGGTCCCTTCTGAGTCTTTTGACCCGCTCACTATCCAGATGTGCTCTATACTGTCTCTTATCTGATTGCTCCCTACGCAGCATCTCGTGAACGAGTCTCCCAAGGTCTTTCTCGCATATCAATATCACATCAACCAATAGAGGGACCTGGAAAAATGCACCCCATAGCCCATGCACCCCAATGTCATTTGTTGATTGACATTGCCACATCCTTGGAGAGTTTTACTTACTTGCGTAGTGTGGGTAAATTCCCGTAGCTGCTTCCTGAGTTCAGCCCAGCCCTCGCCCTCCAGCTGACTATGGACAGGGAGAGGCAGAACACTGTGAATTAAAAAAAATAACCGTTGTTAAGCTGTCGGGGCTGTGCATAATAGCCCTTTTACCTCGACTACTGAATTCACTCATTTCTCAAAACATTAAGCCATTAACTAACCAAACAGATTAACAGAGTTGGAAGGGACCTTGTAGGTCATCTAGTCCAACTTCCCCACCTGAGCAGGAGACCCTACACCATTTCTGAAAGATGGCAGTCCAGTCTCTTCTTGAAAGCTTCCAATGATGAAGCTCCCACAACTACCAAAGGCAACATCTGTTCCATTGGTTGATTATTCTCACTGTCAGAAAATTTCTCCTTATTTCTAGGTTGAATCTCTCTTTGGTCAGTTTCCATCCATTATTCCTTTGGGTGCTTTGGAAAATAGATTGATCCCCTCCTCTCTGTAGAAACCCCTCAAATATTGGAACCCTGCTATCAGTCAACCAGCTTTACCATTCGCCAAGGTTATATATGATGCAGCTACTAGGTAAATGATGTTGAACAGCAAGGGTAAAGGGCTGTGAGAATAACCTTGGGAGACAGGAGGAAAAGCTGCAGCTGAGACAAAAGCCTGAGGAACGAAATATGAGTCGAGTGAAGGAGGAAGAAGACAGAGGAGGAAGAAGACAGCAAGGAACAGCAAGGGGAAGGATTTGTGATGGAGAGATGGCAACTCAGCTAGCTCTGTGATTGAATATCTACTTTGCATGCCTGGGTTCCACACTGGTGCAGTGGCCTAGAGGTGAAGTTCTCGCTTCACAATCAGGAGGGTGAGAGTTTGATCCCAGGTAGAGGCAGATATTTCTCTCTCTGGGCACAATGAGAATATATCTGCTGGACAAAACTCCACATCGGCAACAGGCAGAGCATCCAGCCAGTAAACACTCGGCTTCATTCAGTTGCCCAGACTCCACCCTGCAAGGGATTATAGGGTTGTTAAAAGAGGATGATGATGATGCCTGGATCAGTTTAGGATGTTCCAAAACTGCAACCTTATCCCTGGAGAAGACCTGTGGTCAGACAGGGTCTCTTACAACCCTTATGCACCGTATTACAACCACCTGCTGTCTAGAGCAGTGTTTTTCAACCACTGTGCCGTGGCACACTAGTGTGCCGTGACATAGTGTAAGGTGTGCCGTGGGAAAAACACTTTATCTATAGTCAATATANCAATAGCAGTTAGACTTATATACCACTTCATAGGGCTTTCAGCCCTCTCTAAGCGGTTTACAGAGTCAGCATATCGCCCCCACAGTCTGGGTCCTCCTTTGACCCACCTTGGAAGGATGGAAGGCTGAGTCAACCTTGAGCCCGTGAGATTTGAACCACCAAACTGCAGCTAACAGTCAGCTGAAGTGGCTGCAGTACTGCACTCTAACCACTGCGCCACCTCGGCTGTTTCTCTCTCTCTCTCTATTTGCCACAGTCACACTGTGTCCTTATACCTTTATAAGCCAAATTGAGATTGGCCAATTTAACTCAAATCCTTCTGAATTACAGTTGGAACATTTATAGTCATGAGAGCCAACTGCAATTTTGTTCATCTGCTTAGAGGAGGTTTTGAGCTGGGTAGAATTGATTCTTTTAATCTTATGAAATCCTTCTTTGTGGCAGCCGGAAATCACTGTGGGAGAGAGCACATGAGGCATAATGGCTGTGCTGTCCAAGCTTTGTGAAGATGACAATGGGACCTTCCTGGATTGGTTGGGTTGTAGACTTCCGTGGTGATCTGTCTCACCATGACGTCATCAGCACTTAATTCCCCAAGAGGTGATGCAGTCTCCAATAAATCACTGCAGACATGACAATTTCTGGCCTGGCTCTATTCTTTCTGCCACAAGCTTCCCAACTTCTGTATATCTTACTAAGATATGCAGAAGTTTCTTTTTTTTCTTTGTAAAGAAAAAAAATAAAACAACTATGAAGGGCCAATGAAGAATCTTTTGGATTTCAAGGTTATAGCTACAAAAATCGAGAACAGCACATGGAATTACTTCCATATTTTTTCTTTATTGTTGTTTGTCTTCACGCCTGGGATTCCAGATTATATTAAACCACAGAAGTTGTGAAGGCTGATTCCACAAAAGTAAAAAAAAACAACCATTTTTTATGACCGCATATGTAAGCTCCATATCTCAAACCAGAAGCACGGTCCACCCATTTAAATTATTTTTTGAGAATATAATCTTTCAACAGGCATTAACAGAAATAAATTCTTATACATCCATGTAAAAACTTATTTAAAAAGGAAGATAAAAAGGAAAGAAGATACTCTTGTTAGCTAATAGCCAGTGAAATTAAAGGGATCTGGCCAATTCCCCAAAACTCTTTGTAGACAAGCTTCCTCTGTCTAACATTTTGATGCTTTAACTCTGTAATTTAAGGCATTTAGGCTGGTGAACATCATAAATCTTAATTGTCATACTTAGCTCTGCCTTTCTAGGCTTCTTACTCAGCAGTCAACATATATTTTTTCCTGCCAATTAGGTCTCTTTCTTGATTAGAAAGAATTTCTAAATGTTTTATAAGGTGGTATATTTCCACCCACCCACCCACCCCTTGTTGTTTTGATTGCTTCCTCTGTTTGAGCAAGCAAAGTTGGTGTGGGTGTGACATGTCTCATAATATTGGCTCCTGTAATGAGAAGGGACATTTGAACTCAACTTCCAAACCTGTTGGAAGCTGAAGCTGCAGGTCCTGAAGGGATGGCCAAGGCAGCTGCCTTCTCTGTTTTCAGCGTCCTGGTGACAGGATCCAATCAAGGGATCGGCCTGGGTCTGGTGAAGAGGTTTCTGGAGCTGCCCTGTCCACCCAAATGGGTCTTTGCTACAAGCCGTGATTTGCAGGGGGAGAAAAGCAAGGTAAGAATCAGTTAACGTAGGACGAGGTGGTAAATCGTGGTACAGATGTTGAACTGTTGCTGGAACGTTGCATATTTTCAACTGGTTGTGAAAGTCTTGAGTGATTTGCGACCTCTTTCTTGACTATTTCCCTACCCAACCTAGGCTTACAGTCTGCCTTCTATGGTCAAATGAATCTTAGAATCTCTTGTACATTCCAGAAGAAAAGTGGGAGAGAAATGTGAGACTGAATGTTGAGTAGTTGCTAGGTTCATGCTATACTATAAATCAGTGTTTCTCAACCTTGGCAACTTGAAGATGTCTGGACTTCAACTCCCAGAATTCCCCAGCCAGCAAATGCTGGCTGGGGAATTCTGGGAGTTGAAGTCCAGACATCTTCAAGTTGCCAAGGTTGAGAAACACTGCTATAAATTATGGCTTATTTGAACTGAGATATTCTCCAAGCCCTCGTTGCTGGGATCTAAACAAAGAGCATGGCATATAGGGCTTTGCCTGCAGTGTGATGCTTAGAGATAATTTATGGCTCAAAGAGATTTCCTGGAACATCACAAAGTGCCATTTTAAACCTTTTAATATTATATCTCTGCCATCTTTGAATGCTAGAAGCCAAAACGCCAACTTCAATGTTATATTTTCAACCTCTGGGGATATTCTGATCTAGATACACACAATCTTCCCTTTCGTGGTAAGCGACATGACCCAATGCAAAGCGCGAGCTAGTTCTATATTTCTTTTATAAGAATCGCCTTTTCTTCCTTCCCCTCCTTCTTAAAATTTACTTCACTTTAGATACCCGTGTATCTTAATTCCTTTTCAACTACGTAATCACTGTGGAATTATTAATTTTTCTTTTCTTTGGTGTAGTTTACGTTTTCCTGTTACTAAATCAACATGACACAATGCAGAGGAAAACAACAAGCAGTACTCAATCAAAGAAATTAAGGAAAAGCGTTGTGTCTGTGGAAACCATCTTTGTTTGCATCTTACGCACACTCTGCTTTGCCAGTCAGATTCCTAAAATGTGCTTCCTACTAAAGGAATGTTTTGGCATCTGCCATCTAAATCATGGCAAGCTAATAACACTCACCTAGAATTTGAAATGTGTCCTGGTGCTGACCTATGAACCATGGTTTATAGTTGCGTGGAAACAAAACAAATGAAAACCATGGCTACAAATCTTAGCTATCATTAGGCGCCTGTAGTGGTAAATCTTTTCTTAAACTTTTATTTAATTATTTACATTTATACCCTGTTTCCCTGAAAATAAGACCTCCCCAGCTAATAAACCCAACCAGGCTTTTGAGCGCATGCGCTAAAATAAGTCCTCCATCCAAAATAAGCCCTCCCCCAAAATATTGCAATACAGCAACAGACATGAGTTGACCATGCTCGGCACCTCCTGCACCTCAAAAATAATAAAATTTCCCCGAAAATAAGGCCAAGTACTTATTTTTTGGGGGGGGGGGGTCAAAAGAAAATAAGACGTTGCCTTATTTTCAGGAAAACAATACATTTTAAACAAATATACAAAAAAAATGAAATTAAATTGACCCAACCTCCCCTCCCCTTATGTGACAAATAAAAGCACAGAAAAAGGCAGATGGGCTTGTAATTGCAAATACATTCTAAGTTCATATGGTTTTATAAAGCTTTGAAAGAGGAAGCCAACTTTTCCATATTCATCAAACCAGCCCAAGTATTGTTTTCCTTGGGGGAAAGCTAATAGGACCTTTTCTGATGGACAGGTTGTATAATTCTCTCCAAAAATGATAGGTGACCAGTGTCTAAAACCCAATCCTTAACTCTGATCAATTGTCTTCTGCAGCAGAAGATGCGGTCACCATTACTCCAGCTGACAAGGTTTGAAGCTGAAGTGGGATGAAGAAAGATTCTTGAGGAAGCCCAATATCAAGAATCTTTGGGTTGGGTCATACTGACTGGGTCCACATGTTGCATTAAACCATAATGTGGCTTGTTAATGTGTGTTTTGTTGATTTAATAATAATGAACACCTGCTGTTAAATGTTTTCCTTTTATTATTGTTCTCTTTGAGGACTGAAGTAACTGCCTATTTCTTGACCATAACTATGAGTTTATATCTTTTTCTCCTCTAGGAGGTAAGGGAGTTGTCATGTAAGCATCCAAATCTGGTGGTGTTGCAATTAGGTAAGTTTTGTGTGTCAAGTGCAAACCGGGCTAATTTTGTACTTTATAAATGCCCAGAGCATCGGCTAAATCTATTACTAGAAAAATCTAGCGAGCCCACTTAATGGCTGGCTTCACTAGAGATTCTTTGAGGTTGGCTAATCTCGTTGTTTTACCAGAATGACATTCTTTGAAGATTATGTTAAGGTCATTGTATTGGGGTTGCAACAATCTGTTGAACAAAAGGGAGAAAATCACTTGCAACCCTGATGGAAAGGAAAACGTTATATTGAGGGTTGATTTACAAAAATCCCTGGGAGACATTCTGTATGTCTTTATATATTGTTTTGCATGAATGTTGCCTGAACTAAGTTGCATGAACTTAGTCAACGGAGCTTTATTCAATAGCTTTTGAATATAAAGAGATAACTTGAGTTTAATGTGCAAAGACAGCCTGTCTCACAGCTTGTTTCTGATTCAGCAAAGAATGAGCCTCTTTAGACCCCATTTTCTGGGAATCATAACATTTTCTAGACAATATTTTTTAGAGTTGCTGCTTATACATTAATGTCCTTAATGGAGGCCATGCTCTAAACCATTTGGAGCTGTCTGAATGCTATTCCAGAAGATAGATTGTTGCGTGGATGGACACGTAGATCTGCTGAACATTCAAGAAATTCAAGTTCAAGAAATATTAGAATGTGCAGAAATGAATAGATTAACGCTTGCTATAAAAGAGAAAAAACAAACAGATTATATGACATGGGAGTTATTCTACGAATGGTTGGAGAATAAAAATAGAAGCGAGTAATAAATAGAGACTAGTGAAATAAAGAATATATGTTAAGATAGAGGTGTAAACCATATGATGATTATTATATATGATTGTTATATATTCAAGGTGCTACTTGTCACTCATAAAGCCCTTCATGGTAGTGGGTCTGCGTACTTGAGAGACCGCCTCCTGCCAATTACCTCCCTGCGACCAATTAGATCACATAGATTAGGCCTCCTCCGAGTTCCATCTGCCAGTCAGTGCCGACTGGCAACTACACGGAGGAGAGCCTTTTCAGTAGTAGCTCCGACCCTTTGGAACGATCTCCCTGTGGAGATTTGTACCCTCACCACCGTCCAGACCTTCCGCACAGCCCTTAAGACCTGGCTAGCCCGTCAGGCCTGGGGACAAAGATAATTGCCCCCACCCGAATGATGAATGAATGTTGCTTACTATTTTACCTCTATGTATTGTTTGTGTCTATTGTTTGTATACCTCCTCCCTTCATTTTATGTAAGCCGCCCTGAGTCCCCTCAGGGAAAAGGGCGGCCTATAAGTATTAATAAATACTCAAATACTCAAATATAATATGTTTTCATTAGAAGATATATTAAGTGGGAGAAATGAATAGAGTTATAATGATGATTATTAATATTGTAAGATTAGAGAATTATCATCAATGCAATGAATATTGTAAATCTTCATTGTAGTTACACAGACATTTGTACCCAGATGACACACTGTTTAATGGAAGATGATATGTTCAAATTTAAAAATATTTTTTTTAAAAGAAGTTCTTATGTAGTAATTCTGGAATAGCACATTGTTCTTTTTCTTCAGATGTCACTAATCTCGAGAGCATCCAAGCAGCTCTGAAGGAAGTGGGGAAGTGTGTTGGAGAAGGTGGTCTGACCCTCCTCATCAACAATGCTGGCATTTGGATATACAACGATATGGAAACAGAAAATGTCAAGGATATGATGAGAGTTTACTCTGTTAATACCATCGGTCCGCTGCAAATGAGTCAGGTTTGTTTATGGTTATTACGACACCTTTCAATGCAAGGAAGACTGCTTTGTTGACCAAAAAAAAAAAGCTGAACTGTTCAATTCAGCATTTCAGGGGTGCAAGGAAATAATCTAGAGCTGAAAGTAAAGAAGTAAAATTGTGCACTGATTTGGGAGGAGGGTGGAACATTGGGAAATTCAGTGTAGAGAAAAGTAAAGTCCTACACTTAGGTAAGAAAAAACAAAAGAAAAACAATAAAATGGGTGAGACCAGGTTTAATAGCAGTGACTGTGAGAGGGATCTTGGAGTCTTAGTGGACAACCAGCTAAATATGAGCCAGCATTGTGCAACGGCAGCCAAAAAAAGCCAATGCAATCTTGCATTAACAGAGGGATACAATCAAGATCAAGTAAGGTACTAATACCACTCTATAAAGCCCTAGTAAGACCACACCCAAAGTACTGCATCCAGTTTTGGTCACCACAGTATAAAAAAGATATTGAGACTCTAGAAAGAGTGCAGAGAAGAGCAACCAGGATGATTAGGGGACTGGAGGGGCTAAAACATATGATGGATGGTTGCAGGAACTGGGTATGGCTAGTCTAGTGAAGAGAAGGACCAGGGGACATACGATAGCAGTCTTCCAGTATTTGAGGAGCTGCTACAGAGAGGAGGGAGTCAAGCTATTTTCCAAAGCACCTGAAGGCCAGACAAGGAATAATGGATGGAAAGTGATCAAGGAGAGATTCAATGTAGAAATAAGGAGGAACTTTCTGACAGTGAGAACAATCAACCAATGGAATAGAAGTTGCCTTCGGAAGTTGTGAGTGCTTCATCTCTTGAGACTTTCAAGAATCATTGGACTGCCATTTATCAGAAATGGTGTAGGGTCTCTTGCTTGAGCGGGGTGGTGGTTGGACTAGATGACTTATAACAGAACACTTAAAGAGCTATTTGGACCCATTTCCCAAAGAAAAGAAACCGGGAGCCACAAAACCCTTCCCGTACCTGACTATTTCCTGAGCACCCACAGAACTAGCGTATGTATTTGAATTAAAGTTCTGTTTTCTTCTGAAACTTTTCTTTTCTTGGATTTATCCATGGTTGGCCTACTGGGGCTCGAAAAGCTCAATAAATCACGTGCTGGCGGGTGTCGCGCATTGGCACATATTTTGAGTGACAGGGAGCCGCAGCAGAGGGATGAAAGAGCCACATGCGGCTCCAGAGCTGTGGGTTGCTGCCCCATGACCTATAAGGTTCCTCCCAACTCTGTTAAGCTGCTAAATAAGTGTAGCTGTTCGCTTTGCAGGTGTGCTGGCACAGGAGATAACCTCCCAGATTCTTATGACACTTTTGTGTTGAAAAACCCGCACATTTCCTCAGGGTTTAATAATGGCTGCAGAGAATCACCACGGGGGATAGTACAGTAATAACAACTTGGAATGTCACCTGAGGTGCACCAAATCTGCAAATCTCTTACTTCGTAATTCTAGAGAAAGTACAGGGCTTGGTATGAAATGAATTAAAAGGAGATAATGGCCGTGTGCTTGAAGGAGGCACTAAAGCACCCCCTTCTTGAAGAAGCCATCTCTTGACCCACAGACCTTTGGCAATTATGTTCCCATCTGCCATCTCTTCCAAGAGCCGTGGTGGCACAATGGTTAGTACGCAGTGTCTCAGGCAAACTCTGCCCACAGCCAGGAGTTCGATCCTGATCGGCTCAAGGTTCAGTCAGCCTTCCATCCTTCCAAGGTTAATGAAACATGGACCCAGATTGTCAGGGGCAAAATGCTGACTTAGAGAGGGCTGTAAAGCATTATGAAGTGGGATATAAATCCAACTGCTATTGCTGTTGCTATCTCTCCTTTTTCAGGAAAGGTGAAGAGAATGGGATAGGAAGGCAATTGCAGAACAAATTGCAGAACAAATGGATTATCTGGATCTAAGTCAAACTTTGGATTGTAGACCCTCCCTCTGGGGATGTACATTGTCTCATAGTCCCTCCCCCTCTTCCAGGTCATCTAGGTATCCAGACTTTGCATCAAATGGAAGTATGGACACAGTGGTGGGATTCAGCCAGTTCTCACCTATTTGGGAGAACCAGTTGTTAACTTTCTAAGCAGTTCGGAGAACCGGTTGTTGGAAAAAATCTCCTTTTGTTTTTTCCCCACTTTACAGGGCTAATCCTGTAAGGAAAGCAGGAAGGAAACATTCTGGTGTTGTTTTTAGCCTAACCTTTTTTGCCCTGCTTACAGAAACTGCTTCTCTGGTTAACCCTTATTACATTGTAACAGCAAAGGCGAAGCGTCCATCGACTCGAGTGATGTTGAGTTGGCCATGCCCACCCAGTCACATGACCACTGAGCCACGCCTACCCAGCTGGTCATTAGGGCAGAGAACCGGTTGTTAAATTATTTGAATCCCACCACCGTGTGGACCAATCTTTAAGGGCTGCCCACCCAAAGCATTAGAGCTGCTTTTCTGTGTGGGATCAGGCCTGGATGACTCTATGAAGATCCTCTTGCAGAAGATTACATAAGACCTTTCCCTGTTATTGCACAGTTCCTTTCACTAAAACTTGTTGCAGCTCCTTCTCTCTTTTCTTCTCTCCATCAGGCATTCCTACCGCTGCTGAAGAAGGCAGCCCGGAGAAGTCCATGTCAAGGGCTGAGCAGCAGCAAGGCGGCTATTATCAATATATCCAGCAATGGAGGATCAATAGAACTTGTGGCTTATTGGCATGTAGGAGCTTCAATTTCATATCGCTGTAGTAAGGTACTTAATGTGTTTTCTATGTGGAACTCACTTGGTTTATTTAACATCTTTTGGATAATCATATTGTTTTGTTTTTAAATTCAAAAGAAAAGTACTTTTCCACAGGAAAGATACTTCATAGTAATTGCAAGCTCTTATTTCAAATTAATCTGGTCCATTTATAGCTTTCTAAAATCAAAGTTATAATCAATATGTTCGGTTTATTTAAAAAAAACAATTAAGGGTCTTAGCTTGCAGTTAATTTTTTCTTTCATTAAGGATTGAAGGTAGACGCATTTGGTGCTTTTAGACTTGTTGTTCCGAAGATTTCTAATAGTTGAAAATTAATTGGTACGTAATTTCTAAATATGATTAGAAAATGGAATATGCAAAGTTAGTGTCCCTTTAAAGTTGCCAGATGTGGTTTGAGCAAGATGGATATTTCCAAACTGGATGTCCAAAGCTAGATGATGTCCCATCTGGGGCAGGTTGAAGACTTGAAGAAGAATTCCAAGTGATGGTAAATTCCTTCTAGTTCTTAGCATTCAATCAGTAGAAATGCCCAAACCGATGATAACTAAAATGCCTTTTCCCAGAAAATGTAATAAGATACACCTTTTTTTTGCAAGCCAGAACAATGCATGTGGTTCAGTGATGGGTTGCCAATTTTTTTACTACCACTTCGAGTGCGCTCCCATGCATGCTGCTTGCGCATCCACGCAACACTTCTCCGCAGAAGCATCCGGGCAGGTGGGCAGAGCCTCCCGCTGCCGCTACTACCGGTTCGCCGGAACCAGGAGCAACCTACCTCTGATGTGGATGGCTTTCTGCCTGATTGTGTTCTAAAGGAATTGTTTAATCCAGTTCTGGTGCCTATGCCTCTATACCTTCCCAGCTGTGGATGATGATTAATGCACAATATCTTGTCAATCCCAATTTATCTTAGCCTTTTCCTCCCATCTTCTCTTGAAATTCTTCCCTTGTTTTCCCCAATGCAGGCTGCTTTAAACATGCTCACCAAGTGCCAATCTCTTGACTATTCAGCCCATGGGATTATGAGCGTCTCCATGCATCCTGGCTCAGTTGAAACAGCTCCCAACCGTTTTGTAAGTCTGTTCTCCTTGAAGAGCTATAACACATTTCGTGCCAGAGATGGGTTACTACCGGTTCACACCCGTTCGGGCGAGCCGGTAGTGGTAATTTGGACTCAGTTGCTGAACCAGTAGGGATGGCAGGCTGGCCATGCCCCTGAACCGGTTTCCTGGTTGCCCATTCCGTTGAGGGCATGGTTTTTTTGTCATTTTATAATGTTCTGTGCATGCACAGAACAGTTTAAGGACAACTGCGCATGCACAAGCAATGCGTGGCTGGCATACGCAAAGCATGCACAAAGGAAATTGGCAGTAATGCCGGCAGCAATCCATTCCTGATTCGTGCCTATCCAGATATCTATGTATACCTACACATATGGATTACCTACTAATCAGTCCTGAAGTTTTTAATGCTAAAGTTTGAATTAGCACATTGGATTAGAGGTAAAGAAATGGCAGAATGGAAATTTTCATAGACCAAAGTGAATAAGGTAGCCAATCCCTCCTCTCCCCTCACTTCCATTTCCTCTTAGGAGGAATATTAAATCTCACCTTCTCCTCTTGCAGTTTGAGTTATTTCTCCCTATTTGTGGAACATTATGTCTGCAGGAAAGCATGTTGTTATATCTGAAATGGTCAACACTCTGTCCCTCTCATATTTAAGACTCAAGGCAGGGTTGACTCATTTATTTGGGAAATCATAATGGTGGAAGATGGTTCCACCACAAAACCGCGGAGGACAAAATCGCGCTCGACGAAAGCGCACATTTGACGTCATCACAGCGCGACGAAAACATTGCGCTGTGATC